CCGGGCGCTGCCCGCCTGTGACGGCAGGAGCGGACCTCACCGCACGCTGCTGCCCGACGCCGGCGTCTGCGGGGGCTGTTCCTGCTCGCGATGCCGAGGAAAAGCTCGCTCGCAAGTATGACGGCTGGAAGCCCCAGCCAAATTATTTTTGCTCTCGTAACTGCAGATGACGCGTCGATCTGAAGAAACGCGAACGGAAACGCGGAAGTGGCTGTCCCAGATAGCGCGGCGGACGCGAACGGGGCGCAGCTTTAGGGGTTTAACGGAAGGGGGTGAGCGTGAGCTGAGCTCCCAGCCATCCCGCGTCAAACGGGAAGCTCGAAGTGGAGGGAAGCTGGAAAAGCTGCCTCTTTGACATGTGGAGAGGATCAGGGTGGCTGAGCGGTTGGCAGCGTTCGATGGCCGTTATCCCTTTCCTTTGCTCGGCACCAGGAACGGCGAGGCACTTGCCCAGGGCCACGGAGGGGGATGTGAGCTGAGGAGGGGACTTCAGGGGACCCTGTGAGCCCCTCTTGTGTGGGCAGGAGGAGGGGGCTTGGTCTGCGTGCTGCTTGTGGTGACAGGGGCTTGCAGAGCGTCTCCTCGGGTTGCTGTGCCCAGGCTGGCGCCTGAGGGTCCAGCTGGATCTCACCGGGAGCTGTGGGTTGGCTCGCTGTGATCCAACGTGCCGTTGGCTTGTTCCCACGGGGCTGTTGGGCGTCAGTGCCCTTCTGACCACTCACGTAGCTGAAGGGGAGCACTGCCCAGGTTTTACTGCTAAAACCAGAATAAAGCTTATATTGGAGCGCAGAATAAAACTTCATCAGCAGAGATCGCGCAGCCGGGCTTGAACAGCACCAAAGTGCTGACGCAGGGAATTCTTAGCCTCGCGTCCGGCACGACGCAGCTCCTGGAGGATAGTTCTCCTGCTGTTGTTTACCAATGGACTAAAATTCCTGCCGGGAGAGAAGTGACTGGCTGTGTCGTGTTAACTGGAAGGGCGTTGTTGCTCACCGGTCGCTGACCAGGACTGTGTTTTCATGGTTTAACCTCGGACCGACGAGTCCAAGAACACCCGACTCCTCCTGTCCAGCAGCATGCATAGGAGGTCCTAGTGAAGCAGCTGGGACTAACACGGTTTGAAGTGACTTCACAATCCATGTGATTTAGAAAACACTAATTTCAATCCATACTAAGGCTTTTTAAACATAACTTTTTCCCCTTTTCTCTTCTTGCAGGGAAATCCAGCTTCTGCGACGATTACGGCACAAAAACGTTATCCAGTTGGTAGATGTGTTATACAATGAAGAGAAGCAGAAAATATATCCTTTTTTCACGCAGCTGTTAAGGTTTGAATTCCCGTTGTTCTCTGCAGTGCTCAGTCATGTTGGTTCTGCCCCTGTTAAGGTCCTTTTGAATGTGTCTTAAGCTTAAAATTGCTTTCACTGGTGTTAACCATACTGCGTGTATGGAGCACTTCCCACACAAGGATGTTTTCTGGAGTTTCCCAGTTAGGAAACGAAGTATTGTTCCCAGGTTACAGGTACAAGGCTGGGGTGGGGGAGGACTGACCCTCAAATACTGTGTTTTACTGTGTGACCTTCAGCAACTCGGGGCTGAACACAGAGCTGCGGAGCTGTCATTTCGAGGCTGTGGTCTCTGCTAGTGCTTTCTTTCCCTGAAGATGGACCTTTTATTGTCTGTCCTATGTGAAATCAATTCCTGTAATGCTTTTTCCCTTAAGTCCTTGGCAATAATTTAGGTTTTTATTTTTTTTTCCCTCCAAAGAATTAAGACATCTACTCTTTGGCTGCCGGCAGCGCTCTCCTTCCCTCTGGAGAGTCCGTACTGCCGCAGCGCTGCCTTTTCTGTGGGCAGCTGGCGTGCTTTGCTCGTCCCAAACAAGATGAGATGGACTCCCGAGCCTGCCCCGGGCTCCTCTGCTCTGTTTGGTGTGAAAGTGCCCTGTGCTAGTGCCTTAAGTGACCTAAACCTTGTCGAGCTGCTCTGCTGTAGGACGTGGTATAAGTGATTGCCTTTATTTTGAACAGTTTTCTAAATATGGTCTTCAAATTCTAGGACTTCAGAAAGCGGGTAAATGAATTGTGTGCTTTGATTAGATCAACTACCCTGACGCCAAATCATGAGTATAAAAAAGCACGACAACTTCTGCTCGTGTTTCGTAGCCGTAGCGGGCCGAGGGGGCTCTAATTCAATTACTGCCGCCAGAAAGATACCGTTTAATTAGGGAGAAGCTGGGATGCTGCAGAAGCGTGGGAGGGGAAAAAGAGCCCGCGAGAGACCTCGTGTGTTGGCAAGGGGGGATGACAACCCAGAATGGGCAGTCAGACCGTGACCCCCCTGCTCAGGGAGGATGCTCCTTGCTCTGCTCTCTGAGCAGTTGCGGCTGAACAAGCTGTTTTCAGTACTTCCCCTTGAAAGTGTCGGTTGGCTTTGCTATTTTTGTTGGCTTCTCTGCTCTTAGAAAGTTTGTTTCTGTGCGTGTTTGTTCTGTGCACGTGAGTGGCAGCAGCTGGGGACATTTGGGAATTCCCTGGGAGCAGGAATTTATCCACAGTCATGTCACTTAACCTTTCTCCTGCGTCTCCTTGGCGCTGCAGGTGCCGTGGAGCAGCTCCTGGGATGCAGCAGTATGAACGCTTGTGCGGGCGAGCTTTATCCACAGTCATGTCACTGAACCTTTCTCCTGCGGCTCCGTGGCGCTGCAGGTGCCCGTGGAGCAGCTCCTGGGATGCAGCAGTATGAACGCTTGTGCGGCCGAGCGGGAAACGGAACAGACCCAGCGGAAAAGTAACTCTCTCGGAGGTTGGCTTCTCCGTAGGTCGGCTCCCTTCCTCGTTTCACTGTAGTCAGGCACATGCCTGCGTTAGTGCCTTGCAGGAAGTGCTGCAAGGTGAGCGGGGGATGTCACATTCCCCCTTACTAATATGGAAAAGTCGTCCTATCGAGAATGAGCCGTGTGGAATTTGTAACTGGGCCTGTGGGAGAAGGAAGGATTCGGTTCTCGCTGCTTTTTCCAATGCTAGTGGAAGCAAACTGCAGGCTTTTGGCTGTGTTTCCACTTGGGAAGGTAGAGTTTTAACAACATGCCTCTCTAGTCAAAGCCTCCGATGAATTTCTTTTGGTAATGGTCAAGCTGTGATGACGGGGTTAAAAATACCAGCTACGTTTAGTATGTGATGGGCTGCGCTGATGACCTGCTGTGGCTGGGAATGCAGAGCTGGGGATGAATGGAAACTAATCCAGGCAGGAAATAAACTCAGTTCAATAAGCAGCATCCCAGCTGGCACCCTCTGGCAGGTCCCGCTTCCCGTCTGTGCGCTCGTGCGTGGGAGCAGAACCCTATTGATCAGGGGAATCGAGAGCCTCGGTCGTCTTGGGTCACCTGCAGTAGATCTGCTCCGGCCTGGAAGCTCTCTCTGGGGCTTGGAGCAACCTGGGCTATGGAAGGTGTCCCTGCCCATGGCACGGGGTGGGACTGGGTGGGCTTTAAGGTCCCTTCCAACCCAAACCATTCCATCATTTTATAATCCAGTGTTTTGGGAGCTCCTCCTGCTGTCATTGCTTCTGCTGATGTCCTGGGTGACCTTGTGCCCGTCGTGAAACCTCGCGGTACCTCAGCGTCCCTCTGAAGAGCCGCTCGTGTGGGGAGCGTAGCACAAACCTAAGGAGTGTGCAGGGCGGTTTGAGCTCCTGCATAGGATGTGCCGCAGGAGGCTCAACGCAATCTTCAGCACAGATCCTGCTTAAGGCGCGGGTCATCTCCTTAGCCTCTCCTGCCTGGAGTTAAGGTGGCATCCCAGGATATAAGCAACTTATTTTAGGCTTAGATTAAGAAGGTGTCTGACAGGAATAATTAGTGATGACAGAGATGGCTCAGTGACGAGCACAGGCTGCCTGGCAGCCCCACTTTTCTCTGCTCCTCGTCTCCGAGGTGCACTCCCTTGGCAAAGCCAGCAGATGTCTCAGGGTCTGTTCTTGGGAGCCCTCTCCGCTCCCTCAGCCTCCAGCAGCCCAGGGAGAGGAGGGAAACGGGCAGAGTGTGCTCCAGGCGGTTGTGTCGTCGCTGTTGTTTGGCCTCGACATTAAAGCTTAAGGAGAGAAAAACGAGGATATGCTGCAGGGATCAACTGCTAGAAAAGTGCCGCCAGCTCTTGGCATTCTCCTGGAACTTTTATCCATGCAGGATCAAAGCTTCCCAGCTCTCTAGGGATCCTTTCTCCTGCTATTGCAATGCTGCCAGGGGGATGGGGGTCAGCGGTGGCTGTTGAGGTGTGCGTACAGCCGTGGTGTTGTGAACGGGGAAAGGAAGGACAACAGAAACCTTGGGAAGCAGATGGGAGCTTGCCGTTGGCAAGCGTGGAGCAGTCAGGGTACAGGGAGAGCAGCCTGCAGCTCTCCTGCCGGGGGTTCCTGACTTTCTGTAGGCACTGCAGAGCATTGCCCTATTTCTGTCACTCCTGCGAGATCTCCAACTTAGTTTCTGCGGAGTTCACGTCCCCTTTCAGGGCTGATCTGGGCCTCGCAGCTGGTCACCAAGTGGGATTTCCTCAGGGGGTGCAGCTCGGGCTCAACCTCAAGTGTGTGTCGGCCGGGTACCGGGACTGTCCGTGCAGCAGCTCCGGCCAGGCCAGAACCGGGCTGCAGCCCTCGCTTAGCGCTCGTCTGAGGAGTGTTGAACCTCAAAGCTTCCTTAACTCTGCCCTCACGTATATGGTGATGGAGTACTGTGTGTGTGGGATGCAGGAAATGCTGGACAGTGTCCCAGAAAAGAGGTTTCCAGTCTTTCAGGCTCACGGGTAAGTACGGTTTTGTTCCTCAGGCTGCATTATCTCCGCTGTGCTCACCTGAATTCAAGAGCACGTTCTACTCTGTTGCTTAGCTCGCTGGCTGCTCTTGAAAGTAAAACCGGCTTGGTGAGCTGGCTGCATCTCTCACATCCATGGGAAAAATCCACCAGAGCAGTGGCAGGGACAGCCCTTGGATTCTTGGAAGAAAAGCCGTCTTTCTAGTGAATTTTCTGTTACTTTTGTTTTGCTCCGCTAGATCCATGACAGCCCTTCCTGGGCCCTTTCCCGCAGCTCCGCCCGCCTTCGGCAAAGACGGGGGCGGGAGGAATCCCTGCGGATTCGCACTGTCCGAACGGAAGCGAGCTGTGGAGTTCACTGTCAGAAAAGCTGTTAAAGGTCTTTGGATGGATTAAGGATTGGCAGTATCCAGCATGATCCGTTTGCTTGTTTAGGGAGTAGATGAGCTAATCTGAACCCCCTTTTACTCTGCAAGGAATGGAACTCTGGAATTCCAGAGATGGATGCAAGCTGGTTGTCACGTTTAGCGAATCAGTGCAGAGCAGCAAATCGAACTACGGCATTTTATGGTCATATTTCTGCTTGGTTTAAAAAAGGTGTCGGAGGTGACAGCCTAAGGCACGTTCAGTGTTATTTCTGGATATCGTGAGATGAAAAAAGCTGTATGCCGATTGGGGCGAGGCTGCCGCTGCGCAGTGCTGGTAGGTTACAGCGCTGGCCTGCCCGTGGTCCCTGACCATAAATACAGCAAATCCCTCCTTTCTGCTGGCTGAAGGAGACTTTCTGTCCCCGACCCTGTTCGAGCGAGGGATTGCCACTGCACGAGCATCTCTTGTAGCTTAACTTAGCCCGGACTAAAGCCGAGGTCGGGATGAACCACCCAGCCTGTGCC